GATTCTCAGAATGGAAGGCACGACTGTGTGATAGAAACGAAGAATGAAGGAAAAAAGGAATAAACTGCTTCAAAACATATGTGAATTAAATTTACTCTTATAACTACAAAAATCGATTTTTCATTGAAAGGAATTGGTGACCGTCTGAGACTATGAAAGATGTTTTTGAAAAGGAGCATACTTTTATCAGCAAAATCCTAAAGGCATGGCCTGAAGTTATCGTCCTTGGTGACAGGTGAATAGGTGAATGTGAGAAGTGTTTTCCAAGCATAAATTTACCTGGAGCAAGAAAAATTTGTGCGTTAGGAGTTCTCTCTGAGATAATTCACCATGTTTACACCAAAGTATTAACCTCAGCGAGAACATTCATATTGCAAAAAACACTTCAGCAGTACAACATGAGTGTTTAAGAAACTCCCTTCCAGTTTGTACCCTTGCGAAGGCCAACTGGCTCAAGTTTGAAGCAAGGCTTAGCCAAAGACTTTATCTGGGACAGAACTTGGGCTGTGTCTCAGGCAATACAAACACAAGATTGTTATTTCAGGCCATAGGCAACAAAAACTTTCCGCCTAAGTAGAGAGGTGTTTTGTAATTGAATGTGAAGTGCCTGCTAGTTTCTTAATTCTGTCCTGAAAACTTCCTTAAGGTGTCTATGTAAAGTGATGATGTTGCCAGTGGGCTTTTTTTGAATGAGAAATAATTACAGAATGTTGCAGATGACTTAAGTCAACCTGGAGAAGGCTATCCCTGTGTGAAGTAAGTGCTGGCCTGGAGGAGCTGGTACAGAAAGGCCATTGCATTTTCATTTCGCGTACCGGTTTATTTCACAATCACTTCCTATCACAGATGAACCTTTAGCTCTATAAATAAGCAAGGTGACAGTGGTACTGTCCATTACGTTCTTCTTACTAATCCAAAGTTAGATTCCCATCTTGCAAGGCTCTAGATTAATATTGTTACTGGAAGAAGCAATCCTGCCTACTATTCCTGTCCATTCATCATCTTCCTCATGTGTTGAAACAGCTGCTAATGTAGCTCTGTGGTGAACAGCTCAGAGAACTAATCACTAAAAAATATTTTCTTTTCCTGATGGGTTATTTTTCTTCTGAATCAGTTGCTACAACTATTTACCATGTAGCTACACAAACTTTCACAGTAGCAGAAGGCAGCAGGGGTACTGGATGTGTAGAATAAAGAAACCAGTGGTGGTTCCTGCTG